TGGAAACCACTCCACTCCGTATGAATGCAGTCAAGGATATCGTCCTGTCATGTTGCTGGATTACTGTGTGCTTATGTTGTCTGCAAGTACGATGAGATGAGAGCAGGTCACTGAAGCAAAGAAAGTAGGCAAAATGGAAGAGTAATGTTTTGCATATATAAATAGTCATAGGGTTTGAGTATATGAGAAGCCTTGAGGTTGGTCCTGTATGAGAAAAAATGTTTCAAAATTTGCGTTTATTGTGACTGTATGGACTAAATGAGTGAAGCAGACAAAAGAGCTCACCAGACCTTTTGCCAGCCGAGCCAAATTTTCACCTTGAATCTGAGCCACCGTAAAAATTGAAGCGATATATTATTCCAGTAAAATACTCATTAACCTCTTCTGACCCTTTTGGCCTTCTCAGTGCTGCTTTCTTCAAAGCCCAGTGAGTGATCTTTTGTACCAGAGTCACGGAAATTTCTGTATTCCTTTTAGTGTATACTAACAAGCACCTTAAAAATTCAGTATTAATTTAAATTTCAGGTTTTAACATTTTTAAAAGTTACTGTAGTGTTATAAGTACACAGACAGAATTCTGAAAATCTGAATTTAAAGTACATGTTCATACATCCTGCTTTTAGGATAACGTTTATTCATTCTGCAGATTAAACCCTCTGAATTTACTGTTGTAAAGGCTGTAGTTTTATACCTGCTTAAACTAGTCTACCACCATGCTTCTGCAAGGTTGGTCCCACTGCTGCTCCCGAGTGCATCTTTCTATGCAGTCTGTATAGCAGCATTAGCAAACATGCAGCCACGTGGCTAGTCAATGACCTACATAAAAAAACTGGATGTTTTATTTGTAGGTTAGTTTTCTGGGGTTAGTTTTTGTTAGTTGTAGCTGCATTACAGTTAGCGCTGACACAAGGCAGACAAAAGTAGGACCAGAGTAAGCCAGAAATATGATCTTTAGATGAGAATTATTTGGCAGTGAGATGACCAACACAACAACGTTGGCCTTAGATGTTTCTGACCTTCAAAAGCATCTTCAGGTATCTCTGGCTGTTTAAACTGCATAAGAATGTTGGTTTGGTTTTGGTTGTGGTCTTGGGGGATTTTTTTTACATATAATGCATTCCCCTTCCTGTCTTTTTTTCTACAGCATTTCATGAAGTTTCTGTTTACCCCAAGAAAGAGCTTCCATTCTTCATCCTCTTCACTGCTGGACTATGTTCTTTCACAGCCATGCTGGCCCTCCTGACACATCAGTTCCCAGAGCTTATGGGGGTCTTCGCAAAAGCTGTGAGTATTCCCTGTTGCTGCTCTCTTCTGATAAATAAAGACATAGATGCAGGAAGAGCTGAGCTAAATATTGATGGGTATTAAATATCTGCATATTCAGCAGTGTAAATAAAACATCAAGAGATGTCTGAGCAGGGGAACATTTGAACAACTGTTAAGGGAGCTCATCAGTAAAACACACTACTCTTTGGCTTATATGGCTCTTCTGTTAGGCTAGATCTCTTGTGCTTTTGCCACAAAAGGCCTGATGGGAGAAGGTAATATCTGTGTTTTCATATATAATCTGATAAAATAGGCTAATAATGGTTTACAGAACCCCTCTATTTTGCACAGAGCCATAACGACTGTGCCATGCTTTCCAGTGCATTAGAAACTCTTAGTATGAGCAGAAGTAGAGTGTACTGTTAAGGACAAATTTCTGCATTCTTTCCTCAAACTGCCATGAAGGAAGCAGTCTCAATAGTTCTCTTGTAACTTTTCTTAACAAAATCCAGGGAAGTCTCTGCTAAATCTGATTTTTTTAATCCACCAAGGATTACCAAATGTTGGAGGATGCAGGGGAAGGGCCATGAAATAGACTAAACCGCACTTTTTCCTTTGCAAAACCAAGAACATCACTGCTCCAGTGTGCCAGGATATGAAAAATCCACTTACAGCAAAGTTCTAGGATAACAAAAAAACCTGTCTCCTTCTCCAAGAAATACTGAATATCCACTGTTGTAATACATTTATCCACTGTTGTAATACATTTTCTCAAATATATTTATATCTCTTGTAGGTCTTCTGTTTCCAAAATAGCCTCCGGGCCTTGTGTTTAATGTCTTTGGTGCTTTTGACTGGGGGGGCATAGGCAGTGGGGTGAAGGAGGCAAGGCTGAAAGGCTTTGGCAAATTTCAGATTGTGAGTACTTTCTCAAACTCTTGCAAATGGTGAGAGACTCCCCTTGCAGATAACCAGGTCTTCTACCACACAGGTTTGTGAGTGATACAGGTCTGGTACAGCAACAGTTCTTGCATCAAGAATTTTCTTTCATTAGCTGTCGAAGACAGAAAATAAGATTATCTCTGTAGCAAAAGATACCACTTCTACAGCAAAAAGTGCTGAAACATACCTGAAATATTATTACTTTCTCTTGTTTCTTGAGTGTGTATGTAGGCATTTGGTGGTCAGTAAGTGTGTAACTCGGGCACATTATCTTAAACTTATTTGTAAAGCTTTTGTTTGTTTTCCTTAAATCATTGAAATGCGTGACCCTTGTTTAGGGGCTCTTTCAATGTAATCTGCAGTTTTCAGATCCTGTCGCAGTTAATGACCCCAGATCTGCCCCTGATAGCCTTGTTCCTGTCCTTGTCAGCCTGGTGTCCTGAACAAAGAATATATCTCAAGCTGGTAGCATGGTGAAATTTTATACTTCGTGCTCCTGCTACAAGTAGTGAGATACTAGAATTGGGGGAAATTGGTAGCAGGTTTGTCTGGGCTTAAGTCACCTGTCTTTGGCTGCTGAGTGCAATCAGAGATACCAGAAGTTACACTGGTGATGTGTTAGTAATTGTTTCTCTGTCGTTTGAAGCTTACAGGTTCCAAAGCCATTTGGGGAGTAAAGTCAGACCAGAAGGATGTTTCCTTGATGTGTAAGTGCAGGTGCCATTGGTGTCAATAGACTAGATACCCCAAGACTCTGTATGTGGTTATTAAGTTCTGCATATCAGAGCAGGTAAAGCCCTTAGTTAGTAAAATAAGCACAGAAAAATAGAATTGAAATGTGGACTGCATTATGTGCATGAAGTTGGCAAGATTACTCAAGATCTCTGAACCTGTATGGATGCAGTTAGTATGTCAGTTAACATGTAGTGTGACTTTTTTTAGCTGTATCTTAATCTTCATAAACCACCATATGCAGCAGCTGAGTTTTTGTTGTACGTGGGAAGGGCAGAATTTAAGCCTGTGACATTTGTTTAGTAGCTCATAAAAAGGCTTCGATTCAGAAGGTTAATTTTGTTGTTTCCTCTGTGAAAAATAGCCCAGGTATATGAGACCAAGAAAAACATGGGAGACATCTCTTTGAAATGCAGCTGTATCAGAACAGAATAGAAGAGGTTGGCCAACCATGGCTCTTCCCTTTCAGTTTTAAGGAAGATCATTTAATAAATAACAAATTTCATGAACAGCTAAAAGGTAAACATGCTGACTGTTGCTGTGGTTGTGTGCATTTTATTTCCTGTTCCTGTGTAGCTGATACTCATCATGATGTGGCATACTACATTGTGAAACTGTGCACATACACTTTAATTTTAATAGGTCCATTTATTCCTTCACTATTCCTGACAATCCCAAAAGCATTGCACATATGTAATATCACCATCATGGCCAAGGCTTATGTTCCTGCAAGTTGACTTGTACCATATTTCACAAAAACTGAATAGGTTAGCATGATTGGGTGTTGGGAACTGTCTTTGACCTGTCCTGCTGGTCGCATCTTGTTGCGCCTTTTCCATAGACGGCTGCACTCAAAGAGTTGTTGTCAGTGGCTCGATGTCCAAGTGGAGACCGGTGACAAGTGGTGTTCCGCAGGGGTCAGTACTGGGACCAGTGTT